ATAACGTAGGTCAGTAAGTACTTTAAAATACAATAAAAGTTTTTAATTATGACATAAAAATAAATTATAGTCATTTTGAACAAGCAGTATTTTCCAATAATTATTACAGAATTTGTCTATAAATCCACCTGGCCTACAAACTTTATTTTAAGTTATATGATTATTTTATTGCATTATAACCTTATACGGCATAAACACATTTGCGCCTTATACCGAGACTTGAAAATACTTGTTTATTTATTAAAACGTCGCGTGTCGTAAAACTAGTTCAAACCCTGTACGGACATTACTGGTGAACATTTATAAAATTCTTTTAAGTTAAGAAATGCTCCTTAATGATTAAAAGGTGTTTACAACATTTTATAAAAACATCTGGAGTGATAAGAAAATTATGCTGCAAAAGTAATTTTTTCTTGAAACTGTAACACTCTGTAGCTCAAAAATTAAGAGGTTTACAACATATGTTAATATTAAATTTTCTTCTTAAAATGAACCAAGGATTCACACTCTTAAGTGTCGACACTCAACTAATAAAATGTATGATGATGATCAATAAAAGAAAATTCGAAATCAAATGTGACTTCTTAATCTGCAAAGTTATTTGGCTTAATTTCGTCAAAACTATACTGATAAAAAGTTTGATTCGATTTTAAAGAAAACGGTATGATCTTACACTTTTCATATTTCTAGAAAACCACTCACAGTCAGCTACACTATTTATGAATGTATAGAGTTTGAGCAGGGCCGCCGAGAGCCAGGCGGGGCCTCGGGACAATTTTCCATGTGGGGCACCGCGACAATTTAATAAAAAAATTAAGCCCTTTCAATATCACATTTAAAAAAAAAACCTCAAGCAAAAACTTTGTTCCTTTTTAGTTACAAAAAAAGTCATCACCTTCCTCTGCCCTTGTGCCGCTGCCGGGTCCCCACTTGTGTCCGGGCCCCGTGAATTTGTCCCGGTTACCCCCCTCTCGTCAGCCCTGAGTTTGAGTTCATAATAGTAGATAATTAACAGTAGTTACGTTATCGATGTCATTTGTGAACCTATTAAACAAGAGGGGACCAAGATTCAATCCTTAAAGGACTCTTCATCTTAAGATACAGAATTAATGGGAAGTAAAGGTAAATTGACAGATTCGTTGATGAACTGATTCATTTGAGTTGGTTTGAAGAAATTGCTTGAAAAGTGATCTGTAAAAGCTTAAACAATTGCCTGCTCACACAGATGATAACACAAATAAAATGAAATATCTGACATTTGTACCATTCTGTATATGAAATATGTAGTTTAACTTTTATATTTAAGAGCTAGTTAAAATCCTTGTTTGGTTATCTCACTAATCTTATTTTGATATTATTTCATTTTAAAAGCGTAGAAGAAACATTACTAGTAAATTTACGATTTCAAATTATAACTAGCGATATAATTTTAAGGCATCAAAATAGCCCATTTTTCATTGATGTCATAAAACGTGGATTAACAAGAGTTACGAGAATTACATTGTGTGTACTGGATCCAATCATTCTGAATTATAGCAATCGCCAGTACCGAACTAAGGACAATTGCCGTAATAAATACTCAGTTTTGATCCAATATCTTCAATCTTCATATTGCGGGACCTTGCTCTGCCTGCTCGTCCCGCAAATATTCATTCGTTACATAAAATAAGGCATTTCATAACTGGTTTCATATATAGTTATTGTTATGTCCTTCAATGTTTGTAAAAATTAACTGATTTTTTAATAAATAGATGGTATCAGACATGCAAGTCTATATACCACAGAAAGTTTAAACTTGATAATTTCCATATGTTATGTTAAATATCTATTTTAGTATTTTGAGTAAATTTAATAATAGTGTCAAAAATTATCTTATCTGAACTAAAAGTGAAGAAATATTGAGTATAAGTGGGAGAGAAAGTTTATTTAAATCTTGATATAATACGGTGGTATGTTCAGCATTTTTATTACATTCCAAAGCATTTATATTACAATATGGATAAAAGGGAGAGTCCAGTATTCCTATTTTACATTAATGTGCAGGGAATCGGCCGTGGTTGAGCTTTAAACGAGTAAATATGGATGACTGATATTTATAATAGTTCCATGAATTGATATAAGGAAAATTGTTGGGAAGATTTGGATGTATACTATAATAGTGACTTTGTGATGCCTTCGCATGCTTAGTGTAATTAATTTCCCATTTGTTTCTGACTTCTTTTTTATAAATGTTAATAATATCTATAAAATTACAAAATGATGTAATTTGTTCTGTTCTTAATCCACATGTTAATTTCCTGCAATGCTACAATGTCCTTTAACCTAAACCAAGGAGACTTTAACGTTACAATGTTTAAGGTCAAAAAAATTTTCTTAGTGGATATTACCGAGTTTTTGTTTTGACTTATGGAAGGACTATCAATAGCCTGCAGAACTGACTGGAAGTCAGACCCTACAACTATATTCTGAAATCAATTTGCTTTGCACCAATCTAAGGCTTTTAGAATCGCCACTGCTTCAGCTATGAATATAGAACAGAAGCAGGGTAATTTAAATAATTCTATATAATTAGTGTCTGAAACAAGAAATGCACAGCCAGTACCTAAATCATTTTTTGATCCATCTGTATAGATAGTAGTTAAATTATCTCTCTAATTACTGAGTACGGATTTAAAGACAGTTTTCGCAAGGCTTAGAATATCTGAGTATTTCGGAATAATAATGGTTGGTTTAGATATCAGAATTTTGAATTCAATTTCATATATATGGGTAATTTCTGAAATTTTAAAATTTGGTTACTATATGGACTATTATCAATAAAAGTCTTTCAAAGAGTGAAAGAATTCTTCTTTTCCCAGTATAAATTCGTTAAGTTCTGTATAGTTAAAGTTGAAATTTAGGTAATCATAAAATTACTAAAAGACCTGTACTTAATAATTTGTTTATTTGCTAAAAATTCTCTTCGAATGTACAGAGGCGGATCCTGTGCCTCAGCAAGAATTGCATGATTAGGTGACGATACCATATCCACAAGCATATTTTTAAGGCTTTAAATTGAACACGATCTACAGATAACAAATTTGAATTACACGTTGATCCATAAAGAGTACATACATAATCCAGTATAGAACGAATATAAGATTTATAAAATGTAATAGCGATATTTGGGTCCCTTATCACCTTTTTGCCTCATGTATTTTATATCTATAACTAAACCAAGGTATTTGTATTCACTAACTATGGGTATAGTCAAGTTACCTAATGAGCAGTATTCAGCAGTTCTGAGTCTGTGTCGCGTAAGGCACATGATTGGTGATTTCTCCTGTGAAATACTAAAACCCATGTCACTAATCCAGTATTTCAAATATTAAAATACATATTTTAAGTCTCTCATACAACGTTCATATATGAATTTTGGATGGTATAAAAGCATATGTCATCTGCATATTGGATGATTTTATTGGTATTATCCACCAGTTATGCAGTTCTGCTGTATATATGTTAAACACAAGTGGGCTTAAAACAGCTCCTTGTGGGGGACCATTATATACGGTTCTCGGGATATGTAGTACATTTTTATGATCACGGACAAATATCTTTCTGTTTATAAATAAGTTAATTATGTTTGTAGATACCTTATTATTGATGCCAATTTTATTCACCTTAGATTGTAAAATACCTAGATCAACCACGTCATAGGCGCCTGTTAGGTCTATAAATAAACATAACATATACTTATTTTTGGAGAAACAAATTTGTGCGTCGGTAATTAAATGCGTTAGGACATCAATTGTACCTTCACCTTTACAAAATCCGCACTGAGTGCTAGGCAAGAGATACCTACTTTCAACAATATGTTCTAGCCTAAATTTTATCATCCTCTCCAAGGTTTTAGAAACACATGACATTATTTAGATAATAGGTCGATAGGATGATAATGCAAAAAAATAATTGTGCAACAAGAGTGGATATGGACAATCCACTCGAGTTGTACAGTATATTTTTTCTACGACCCACTATTTATGAGTTTGTTATCTGGTAAGAAAATAAGTATAATTAAATTAACATTAAATTATTTAAAATTTAAAAGCACAGAAGAGCAAAAAATCATTTGATTTAATCTAACATAACTTAAAAATTAATTGTTACTGCATCAGAAGGTGAAAATAGTAGTTTTTGCAACAAGAGTGGATATGGATAATCCACTCGATTTGTACAGTATATTTTTTCTACGCCCACTAACGAAAATCTACAAATTTTAATAATTAATTTAGGTTAAGACAGAATAGCTAATTTTAAAATAATTTTCGTCTTTTACTAATTAATAAAATAAAATAAACATAAAACAAAAATAAGATTTAATTTAATTAGTCCCCAGCCCAAATTTGAACCCGGGCCTCTCGCATGGAAGCTTAAACACCCTGTTTACCTCTGTCGACACACTTACGATTTTTATTATAATACTCGTAATTAAATTAGTCTCATCTAGTTTGATTAAAATTTATGATTAATTTGTAAATATAGACGAAATGAAAATAGAAATGCTATTATTTATGGATTCTACACAAGGATAACTTATTTTTACGTATATTTATTTTCAATAACTAAAAAATATACTCACAATTAGTTTAACAGAATTATTTAAATTTTAGAAAAATAATAGTAGCCGTATGACCAAAATATGAACAGCGATTGGTAGATTTAATTTTTTTACAGTGCAGGTAGAATGGATATGAAATATATTCGTTCAGGTGAACGCAATGGTATACTTTTACAATTTGTAGTCTGCGTAGATAAGCTAATAACCATGTGGGTGTAGAAAAAAGTTTTTTTGAAAAAGTATAGTGTTATAAAAACTATTACTGACCGATCAAAACAAATACGTTTTATGTTTTTGAAAAATTTTACTACGGTCAAAAATGTATATTCCTTGTGACAATAATTGTGTAATTTCATTAAACTGCTCGAAAATAAGTATGTCATTTGCGAATTTCACTTACCCTTATTGGTTGTCCTTGATGAGTTTGGTGTAGAGAGCACACTTCGATCATCTTGAGTGCCATCCACGCTATTTGTTGAGCATGAGTGTGTGTTTCTTTGTGTAGTCCACCGGCGACGCAGTAAGCATCCCCAATGGTTTCGACCTGAAAATAAAACACCACGTCTTATCTTGGATGTAATTACAGCACAATACGAACTCCTTGCACAATGGGCTCGAATAAGAAAACATTTCCTTTCGGTTTTTTATAGGATTAGTACGTCAACCGAGGTAAAACGTAAGTGTTGAAATGTGGTTTTTATTTATTTTGCCAAACAAGATTGTAACAGCGAATAATAGGGTTAAAGCCCGAATTATAAGTGTCCTGGTACAGTGACAGGTTTATCCTTCTGTTAAAATAATAAGAAGAAGGAAGAAAGCTGAATTTATAAAATTCCAAAATTTTAATTATACTAAAAGGCATGACATATTAAACTTTGCAAAACTAAATGGGCAAAACTACCAAATGTAGAAGTACAAAATGGAAATGCTTCTAATGAAAGACGAGTGGTGGGATGTAGTCCATGAAGAAAAACCCAACCTGGTAACCAATGAATGGACTACAAGTATAGAAATTAAAAATGAAAAAAACCGACTTCAAAAACTGGCAGATGCCGTCACCACATCTTAACCAAATTTATATGGGACCACCCCTGAGGTATCTATCCCCTTACTAACAAAAAAAGAATCATATAAATCGGACAAGGTGGTAAAGCATTATCGCTAAACATACATAAAAATAAGGAGTTTGAGGATTTTCTCACGGATCCAATTATTATATTTTGACCAAATTTATATCGGACCACCCCTGAAGTACCCATTTTCTAACAAATAATTATTGAAATCGAACACCGTGTTGAACATGTATAAAAAAAAATATCGCGACGAATTGACAACCTCCTCATTTTTTGAAGTCGGTTAAAAATTGATGCTCACAGATACCGCTGAAGTGCTGACTCGAAAACCACACAAGTGCACAGCAATTTTAAATCTTCTACTACGGTTAACTTTGAAATAACCATGCTCATATCAGTAAATATAAACTATTTTCACCTGATAAGAATTAAACAATAAATAACTACAGTATAATAATAAACTTTATTTGCAACTTCATTTTTTTATACAGATATAAAACATGAGAAAAAGAAAACATGTGCCAAAGAAGGTTGCAAAAAGGACTGGTGAACAGTAGAGACTAATCAAAGCACCATCCTTGAAATATGTCCAACGCCACAAGACATCGTACAAAAAACAATATATATAAACAAATATGATTTTTTTTTAACAAAATATGAACATTCTAAAATGTAGGTAGCTAATACTTTGCTGTATCGAGAAGAAACTTTTTATAAGATTTTATGAATTTTTTTACAGACATTTCTTTAAAACGTTCTGGGATATCATTGTACAAAGCGTAAATGTTATAGGTGAAAGACCGTATGAAAATAGCAGTATTATGTATTAGAGGTGAGATAGGACCACAAAAACGTAGATTTAGATTATGAATATCAGAACGATACCTTATTTTATTAAAAAGATGTGGAGATTTATTTAAAACAATAAAATGAAACAGATTTGCCGAGTGTAAGACTCGTCTGGATTTCATATCTAGCCAGTTTGAATCCTTGAGTTTATGTGAGACTCTGTCGAATTTCCGTATTCCATATGAAAATATTAAACAAGATTTATGTACTCTCTGAATTCTAGTTAAGTCGCGCTATCTAAACAGGGCCCATACACTATATAACAAAAGTTAAAATTACTTAGAACCAGGGAATTTGTTAATAATATTTTTGTTGAAGTTGGAAGAATATTATGTCGATGTGGGTAAAGTATTTTTAGATTCATATAAGCTGTTTGAATGCACTTGTTAACGTGAAGTTTAAATCTCAAGTCATTATCAATTACTAAACCTAAGTTGCGATCAGACGAGGAAAATGAAAATATATTTCCACCAACTAGAATCTGCATTTCATTCTGCAGTTAACGTCGGTATTTACCAAATAACATTACCACACACTTTTAGAAGAATTAATATTAAGTTGATGAATATTTGAAAGTCTAACTAGTCTGTCAAGATCTTCATTAATATGATTACTTTCTTTTAAAACATTATCATGATCAAAAGAAAATGTAATTTGAGTATCATCTGCATCTTATAGCGGAAGTTGTAAAATTTTTTTGTAAGTTTTTATAATAATCCCAATGCTGCGGGTTTTTAGTACATTTAAATTTGTTAAATGCCTTATCTCTAAGCTTAATCATCAATTTAACATTAGCCGTTAACCAAGGTGGATTAGGTTTTTTAAATTTAATAGAATGAACTGGGGCTAAAGTATCAAAAATATTTAATAAAGTCCTATTAAGAAACTCAACCTTATCATCAATGTTATCAAAAGTAATAATATTTTCGAAAGGGGTAAATAGCAGCATTTCTTTTAAAATATCACGATTTATGTTTTTTTAAATTTCTTGACTGGAATTCTTTGGGAGGATCAACTGTAATTGATAAGTTTAGTGTATAATATGTTAATTTATGATCCTAGATATTAAATACTTCCTTTACGCCACTGTCAACAGAATCAAACTGGCCAGCTATGACTATCACATTCAATAGAGTAGAACTTTTTGTGGTGACCCTCGTCGGCTCGTTAATAATTTGTTTGAGATTAAATAATTCTATGGTAGTAATGAATTTTTTTGAATTTGAACTGTTATCGAGTAGATCAACGTTTATGTCACCACCGTACATTATGTGAAAATGTATCAGTGTTATTGTCAAGAAATATAAAAATAATAAAAAAATGTAAATAGATAGAATTGAGAGGATATTAAAGATTTGCAACAATAATTATAATTTTGTTATTAGCTTTAGATTCTTTCTAAAAATATAGTTCAGTATTTATCAGATTTATCAGTAACGAATTTCCTAATTTAGACTCCGCTATGTCAAATTTGGATAAAAGACAATTGGGATTTAGTTATAAAAATTATGACAAACGAGTAGATAGTAAATAAGGGAGGAGCCGAAGCCAGTCCCTTAAGAGAACCTGCACCCGGTTGTAGTCTTATGAGAGTGGGTGTTCAAAAATGCCATATCATTTTTTAACACATGCTCTAGTTACTATTTTTATGATCCACCCCTGTATAAGTAATGTAAAATGACACTGTATATAGTTAACCCTTAACATGAATTTTAGAAAATAGCAAAAAAAATTTTAAAAATTCAGGGTAGCTGAGCTGACCCTATTTTTAAACAGGGAAAATTATTTAAAAAATTCTGATTACATTTTTGTCAAAATTAAAATAAAAAAAAAACGTTATCAAATATGATACATTATGCTTCGAGGGAAAATAAATATGGGACTAAAAACTTAACAAAGCACTATTCAAAATTTATTTATATTTCTAATAACACTGCGAAATAATCTCTTATTTTTCACGATGGAACTCAAAAAAACAGTTTCTCTTTTTGATTATACAAAAATTCAGTCCACATTTCCTGCAGATAACATTGGTCAATGCTTGACAGCTATCATATTTGCCTCTGTTTCTTTTTTCTTTAAATTGTGGCCAATGCTCAAATCCATCAGTACGAACAACTGTTGTTGGTCTAGGGGCAGCAGATCTTCTTCTAATTTAAGCGCTGGCAGGTCGCCCACGTCTGGAAGTGTCACTCCTTTCAATTTTACACAGGGAATATACTAAATCTATTCGATATTGTTTCTGAGACATTGTTGTTTTGCCGTATATGCTGTTTATTGTGTTAAAAAGAACCCAAGCACTTTTTCTTTTCATAGTTATTTTGTGTCGCCCAATGTGAGCATCCATCAAATCTACACCACCCATGTGTCTGTTGTAGATTTTGATAATTTTTGGACAGGGGATATTCACATATTGTATTTCATTTTGGACATATCTGCATATTGTGTCAATGGGTTCCACACCACATAAATTGGATGCCAAACACACAAGACTTGTTATCGTTCCAATGAACAAGAGAAATTGGACAACCATCATATTCCGTTACAAATTCTTCTAGAGTCCCCCTTGCAGTTTTTTTTCATACTTCTGTCATCAGTAACGGGGTTGTTTGGGATGCGATCTTTTCGTATTGACCCCAATGCAAAAATATCCTTCTTCTTCAGCTCAGTCATGAGGGGTGGGGAGGTATAATAATTGTCAAAATATACGGTATATCGACAATTTTCTGGGATACCTCTAATCAAACGAATAACAATATTAGGGTTTGCTCCTATATCTGTCTCTCCATCAATAATTACGTTTTCTTGTCCTGAGTAGATTTCAAACTTGTAAGCGAAACCATCATTATCACATAAAACAAATAATTTGTAGCCCCATTTTTTGGGTTTTCGAGGATTGTATTGTCGTAACGAATGTTTTATTTTAGTTGCACAAATTTGTTCATCAACTGAAAGACTCTCACCTATGGGTACACTAGAATATTTATTATTATTAACTTGGTAAAAAACACATTTTTTAAACTAATCACAAAACAAGTTCTTTAGATTCGACATGCGGAGATTTTTTTTTGGTGAGAACAAAACAGTCGCAAATTTAAAATTAAAACAAATGCAACATTCAAAAGAATTCTCAAAAACCGGCATGTTTAGTGCTCAGTTTATTATGTAAACCATTTTTACCAATTAATTGTTTTTATGTGGTTTTTCTAATGTGCTCAAAGTTTAACAAACTAAAATAAAGCCAGTTATTATTCAACTTAATCTTTATTTTTACATCATTCACGACACCTTTAATCAAGTATCAAAGTATTCTACAAGAGTCATCACATAATTATTTTCAGTCCACGATTTACTTAATATGCGCAGACTACTGTAAATTGAGAAAAAACATCGTTGATCTGTGACAGTGGGGATAACTATTATCAAAAATATAGCAACCTGCGCCCAGCATCTGGCGGCCACATTTCCCACCAGCTGACCCACGCTTTTCTATTTTAGGAAACAACACCAATGTCAGGGACAATTCAAACACTTTCTTCTACCTGTAAAATGGCTAATAAATATTGAATCCATCTCTGTTACAGGTTCTAGGAAAAAGGTATGTACATTAAGATTTCTAAGT